TGTGTGTGTGATGTATAGGATGGATAAAGAGAAATACCTTTAACATATCTTGAGAGTTGTGGCAGCCTGGCCTCTGCGTGTGTGTTTGGAGAGAGGGAGAGAGAGAGAGTGAGAGAAAAGGGGTGGGGTAGGGGTTTAGCATAGAGAGGGAGGGTGGTAATAGAGGAAAAAATATTGGGCGGGTGTGTATGTTCTGACACCCTCCTTTGTCAATAACGTGCGTGTCTCAGGCGTGTGTGGGTGTGCAGTCTTAGTGGCCACATGCATTTGGGCGGAAAAATAGGTATATGAATGGTTTTGAGAAGGATGTTAGTGGTCATTGGATGAGTCTATTTGAGATAATTGAGTGAACTTATTGAAGCCTACATGTTTTATATTATGGATTCTCCCAAAACAATAAATAGATTATAGGCCAATCTTAATCTACGGTAATATGCATGTTACAGGCCACCAAAATCCAAACAACATCTAACCGTTATGCTAACTTTATCTAGTAACCCCACCCCCAAACACATTAGAATAACATTATCATTCCGCTCATTGAGACATTTCATCGAACACACACATTATACACCCAACTAAGGATACCCCCTCAATTAGATCTCTTACGGGGTGGCATAAATTTCTTTTGTTATGGTTTCTGTTCAAAAGAGAGAATAATACAGTCAAGGCCAAGAAAAAAAACCAAAAAGATAAACTCCTTTATACCAATAACATCCACAGATTCATGCATTTCATTACAAGCATAATGCAAGTTCCTTTGGATTTATCACGATATGAACCTAACTATATACAATTATTAATGGCTCGGGTATAAATCAAGGAAATCAAAAATTTCATCATTTTTGTTAATTTTTTGAGAGAGATCAAGAACAACAATCCAAATTCACATATTCTTTAAGCAGCAAATATAAAGGCAGAGATACCACATATTCTTTCCATCAATGCCTATGAAATTACCACTACTATTATTCTTCCAATAATGCTAAATCAAACCAAATGCCTACGCTAAAAGACCTAAATGACAATATTTGCATGTATCAATCACACACACACACAAGCACACACGTGGGAAATTTTCATCTCGGAAAACATTAAACAAATACATCTTATGCATACCAAGTAACTAAAATTTCCTTGGTGATGTACATATATCATAGATGATTATATTTGCTTCAATAGGCCATTGAAGAAATTTGAGAAAGTATAAGCAAAACCCCTAATTATAGTGCACATTATAAAAAAAATACTAATCGCCGTCTTTGTCTGCAATGAAACTTTGGGTCCTAGAGTTACAAAATCAAAAAAACCTTTTGTTAGAGCAAAGGAATGTCGTAGGTCATTAGTTATCAAACAAAACCCAAGAAAGGGGAACATAAATTCAACTCATTATACCCCACACAAATTTGTATCAATCAAAAGAGTATAAAATATTTCCCACAGGCATTTCAACAAATACTTCATATGTGTTGTGATTAACAACAAATCAGCACCAAATTAACAAAGCATAGAGAGTGAAAGAGAGGGGGGAAAAGAGGAGAGGAGAGGAGAAAGGGTGTGTGAATCTGACAGTGTTTGTGTGTGAGTGTATCGTGTGTGCGTGTGTGCAGAGATGAAGGCAGAGTGGGCGAGACACATAGAGAGAGGGGGAGGGATGAACCTATTAACTACAAATTAACATCTGTTTACTCTAATTAACAACCCTAATTTTGAAATTATTTGCGCATGTGACTGTGTGGGCGATGGGTTTGTGTGTGTGTGTGTGTGGGTGATGGGTGTGTTAGTGTGTGTGCATTGTGTTTGGGTATCGCTGGATTTACACAGAGAAGCAAGAGCGAGAGCGAGAAGGAAAGAGTAGAGGGGGAGAGGAGACTAACCTAAGAGAGGTTCGCTAGAGTGTCGTCGGAGGGGGAGAGCTTGGGGGAGGGGGGTTCGTTAAGAGTGTGTGTGTGAGAGAGAAACAGAGGGTGAGCGTGGGGATGGATTTTATTCTTGTGTGTATGAGGGGGAGAGAGAGAGAGAGAGAAACAGAGAAGAGGGATACGTGGGAGGGGTGTGGCTGTGGCGGTTGTTGTGTTGTTGGCGATGGTGGTGTTGATGGAGATGGTATAACAAAGAAGGGAGGGGGGGAGGAGTGACAAAGGGAGGGAAAGAAAAGATGAAGGAGAGAGAAGAGTTACCGTTGAAGGGAGTGAGATGTGATGGAATTAGGGGGAAAAATATGTGGGGGATAAATATTCAACTTCCTTTGTGTTATATTATATGGGATAATTCACCGAAATTGAAAAATTTTTAGGTGTAAAAATATTTAAAAAAAAACGCATATGAAGATAGAAATGGTCGTGGTTGAAAAACAGTTTATTAAAGGCATAAGATATAATGAATTGGTCATATTTTCCAGAATGTTTTTAATCACCGTTGTCAACTGCAAGAACCGTGTTATGGTTAAACATAACTCACTACACAACAAAGGCCACCAACTTACATATTCAGTCTGTCCATGAATAGCACCAAAAATCAGATATAGCCAAGATTTGAAACAACTGTAACTTAAAATTTTGTAACTTTTTCAATCCATTACCACATGAAGCCAACTAACAGACATTGTCTATGCAAAATCGAGAATAATCCATGTACCCAACCTCATATGAAGAGCAAAGATAGGGCAACCGTAAGGCTGTTTCTGCTTTTCCTATCACGCATTTTGTTAGACATGTTTGCTTGTTCTCGGAGTGGAGTTCACATCTCTCTGCTATCTTGCTAGAAAGCTCCTAAACATACAAAAGAAACAATATGGGAGCTCCCCGCACTTGTATAAACTCGGCAGAAGTGCACTGTCAAACTAATTCAAAGAGAGACGAAGTGCTTTGAGTGTAGGAAGATGATCACATATATTCATTGATTGAACCACAAATAGGCACAAATATGATTTAGCAAAAAGAACCCCTCTCATTCCAAATCCAAACACCGTCAAACTTATAGTTTCAACATAAAAATTTAAGAAGTTTAAGAAAAATCCTTACCCATTGGAGCTTTTGTATTTGACTACAACAAATTGTAGCCATTTTCTTTCAGAAAAGGTCAACTGTCAGATTCCATATTTCTTCACCCCAAGTGGCTAACTAAAAACAAACATTTGAAAAGATAGAAACTAATTGAAAGCTAATTGAAAAGATTAAATTGTTTAATTGTTACAACGCAGTTCTAACAATTCAATCATAGAGCTTTTGACACTTAACAACAATCAATAAAACAAAATATGATGAACTAATTTAATGGAAGTAAAAGAGGGCTTGAATTGATAAAAATGAAGATAAAAAAAGTGGAAGAATACGAAAAAGTTAACAAAAAGCTATAATAATCATTAGTTTGTGTTTAGTGTTCAAAGAGTAGATAAGTAAACAATAAAATAACTTTAATATATTATTTGTAGCCTAACCAAGATGGTAGAGTGGTTTGCATAGATATACAAATGAGACAATTATATTGCCAATGCATTAACAATCTTTTGTCAATTGCACATGGGGACACATATATGGTCCAATTATGAATCTTTTAGCAATAATAGCATTGATAGTTCCCCCAAACTACTATTACGTGAAGATTCCAAAGAGGAGCTATATTCAAGGCCCCTAACAACTATCCCTGACAATATTTCACACAAAAGCCAGCCCAACTATTCTTTTAGAATTGCATTGAACCTTCCCTGGCTTAGGAACACCCATTGTTGTGCCCCTTTAGCTCACAATTGTTTCTACTATATTACGTTTTTTGATTAACATTAACCATGAGAAAGTAAAGAAAAATGTGACCAACTCGCAAAAGCACACTCCAATGCGATAATAAAATCCAAATGCAGCCCCATTTTAGCTAAAGTCTCTTTTGGACAATTTATGATTATATTCGTTTACCAAATCCCATTACACTTCAAAGAATCACAATAACCTAGGATAACCATCATATTCCTTTTATATTTAAGGAATAAAAAATGCTAGGAATCTGGACACAAATGAACAATAGATGATAACAATCAGAATCATAAAGAGCATGTAACGCATTTGGCCTGTGTAACAAATGAAATAGAAATAATGAAATAACTGAAAACAGAGAAAATAAAACACCAAGGAGGGGCAAGATTCCTCACCAGCAGTTAAGTTACCAAGCATAGCCAAATCTAGTTCAACTTCTGATAGCTTTATCCATGCCGGATTGAAACTCATTAACATCACCATTGTTTTCCAATTTGTAAAACTACACCACATGGCCATCGTTTCCCAATTTGTAAAACCACACCACATCACCCTTGACCTTCTCTAATAGAGACCCTCCCTTTTTTTTTCTAATTTGTAAAACCACACCACTTCATCACCTACATGCCCTCACCCTTCAAAATCACCCCCTCCCTTACCCCCTCCTCAATTGTAGGGTAGAAGACACCAATTGTGATAAGAGTTCTCTCCTTCTTCGACGCAGTGAAATTTACATATAAAATAATAACAATTCAAGAAATTATAGCATGTAATGCTCATAAAATGCAATGAGTTTCTCACTTCTCACTTATTGAAAATTATAAAAAAATATAGCATACAAAGAAGTGAACTTTTAACTGGAACTTGCACTTGCAAGACGGATATGAAAAAAAAAGAATCACACAAATTGATAATAGCTACGAAGAGCTGTGTTTTGATAGATCAAGTCTTTATTAGGCATTTCGTCGAACAGTTTGCGAGCACACTTGAATGCAAGTAATTGGATGTATTGTAAACCAAATGTAAATGCAAGTAATTATATCAAGATAATAAAAAAGGCCCCCATTGAATGGGTGTATGTGTAGCAGAGAGAGGGGAGGGAAAACAGAGGGTTTGTGTGTGTGAGAGAGAATGGAGATATAGAGGGAAAGGGCATGGGTTTTGGGGAGAGAATCTGGAGGAGGGGGGGTGGGGAAGAAGGAGGAAGGGAGGGGAGGACAATACCTTGGTGGTGGTGTTGTGGCTCCGACAATGGTACTGTGGCGCTTCATGCATCTATGGCGAGAGAGAGAGAGAGAGAAAGCATGAGAGCAAGTGAAGGAGAGATTGAGAAGTAGCGTTTGTGTGTGTGACGGTGTGCTTAGGGGGGGGGGGAGATAGACATATAGAGTAACACGAGAGATGGAGGTGATTTGTGTGATGAGATGGTTTTGGGGGAAAAAATATGCAAGGGATAAAATTCAACCTTTGGATGAGTCTATTTGAGACCGTTGGATGGGCTTATTGAAGCTTGTCCTATTTTATATTATAGATGTCATGGTCACTTTAATATTTTCTGGTTTTGGAGTAAATTTTTGGTTGGTGGTCCATGCCGCTTATTTTGGGCAACTAGTGATACTGGGTCTTTATAGGTTAAGTATCACTTGATTTTGGAGTGCCTATAAGTCTATACACGACTGTTTTTTAGAGATGAAAAATGAAAAATTCTCCATCAGCTTTTGCTTTTTTAGGTGCTGCAATTCTAACCATAAGTGGGATGCCAAGGGGATTCTTGGTGTGTATTTGTAGAATGCCTGCTTCTCCTTTTTCTTTTTGTATCTTTCCTAGGAAGTTTTATGTCACATTTACATTGAACATACCTTTTTTCATCATTGTTTTGTCTGCAGTTAATGCTACTTAATAACCCTTCATTATTTCTAATGTGGGCTTTGTCACTGACACCTAAACACTAATATAGCCTGTGACCAGAAATTCGACATCATTTTTTCCTCCTAGTGAGCATACATATTTTAATACTTAATTGTGAATCATCCGCAAAGCCCACTACCTTTTGTTCTTTCCCATCAAATATTAAATGTTTATATATCCCCTAGGTTTCCCTTTTTATCAGAAAATGGTTGAGCTTCCCTGGATCTAAGCACTGGACCATGATAAAAATTGGCAACTATGTTAAATGTTGTTCCATACATTCGTAGAACTATGTTAAATGCTGTTCCATACATTTATACCAGATATAATAGGAGACTGCTTGCTCACACTTACCTTACAATATATAAAGATGCTGTGATCAGTTGAGCAATTTTTTGCTTTTGTCATTCTTCAGTTTTGACTGTTTATTTTCCCTTCACCTCTGTAGACTATGGGATCTGGGTCAGCAGCGATGTGTGCATTCTTATGCTGTGCATACAGATTCTGTTTGGGCACTTGCCACCACCCCTACGTTTAGCCATGTGTATAGTGGTGGAAGAGACCTTTCAGTGAGTGCACCCTTACAACTCAACCAATCCAAATTTCTGCTAGTTTATATTTTCTTCCATTGGATTTTGTTTGCATTTGCTGTTGCTCTCATATTTTGAAGTCCAATTTGTTTGCGGCAGTTATACTTGACCGACTTGGCAACAAGAGAGAGTGTACTGCTTTGTACAAAGGAGCACCCTATCTCACAATTGGCATTGCATGATGATGGTATATGGGTTGCAACAACAGATTCTTCTGTTCATAGATGGCCAGCTGAAGGTCAAAACCCTCAAAAGGTTTTTCACAGGGGCGGTTCGTTCTTGGCTGGAAACTTGTCATTCTCAAGGGCAAGGGTTTCATTAGAAGGATCCGCTCCTGTGAGTCATGATTTTTCCTATCTATGTTTTGAAGTTTCTGAAGGATTTTGACCTTTAATTGCGTCCTTGTTATGTACCTCAAAATATTCTTGCGTCACCATAGTTTTCTGTTTTTGTTCTAGAATATTTTTCATAAATGTTCAAAACTTTGAGGATTGTACTTTAAATTTAGTTGGCAGTTCATGTGATAAATACATTTTGGATTTCTTTACTACATTTTTGTTGCTTACTTTCCATTTTACTTTTCCTTATATCTTTATTGGCTAAATTATGTATCTGTAGATGGGTCCTGGCTGTTCCACAAACCTACCACCATCCTTACATTTTATTCCCTAACCTCAGTGTGAAAGCTCAAAAGCTCCCCCACCTCCAATAAAAAAGCCACCGAAAAATTGCACATAGACACAGACACAGACACACACACACACAGGTCTCAAGGAAAACTTGTATAACTTGAAGGTAAGGTTGATAAACATCATGTCGACACTAAACTAAGTTGTGCTCCACATTGTGATAAACAATGGGAGCTGCAGCTTATGAACAGATGAAAAAGGAGGGACCCTAAAAGACAGCTAACTTAAGTAGTTCATTCATGTGTGTTATACTAATCTTTACGTTTTGTACTGGGTCTCTGCTTTTTTTTTTCAATGAAACTAGTTAGCAAGGTGCATGCCAAATTTAAAATCCATGGATGAACTTTCAAAAGAGGAAAGTTTATCCTCAATACATGCACACAGAAATATATACCATACCTGAGTGAATTCATGCCCATGGGCATAATAGTTAAAACCGGATTTATCTTTTTTGCTTAAAAATCATAGGAGAATTTTGAGCTTTTCATGGCTTTATGATACTTTTCTATGTATTGTATGAAACTTTTTAAAGATTCTTGTTATATCTAAGAAGCAAAGTGATTTGCATCAAATTGAAGGGACAGGGAGTTGATTATTTGGTATGGTTCAAGACCTGTAAATGATTCATGAAGTTGACATTTATGTGAAGTTTACTAAGTTTTTCTGGTGGTGACACATTAGCGTTAATTGACATTTGTTTCTATAGGACAGGATGATACGTTAAAATAGTGGTAAAGAGATAGCTCATCGAGATAATAAATTAGCTCTTGATTAAGCATATAAATAAAGCATCCAAGGAAGGAAAAAGAAATGAGTAATGCTATGTAACCCAAATCTGTAATCCAAATTTGTATCCCAAATGAAGGGAGACCATTGGATCGGTGGGTCCTATTTAGAAAAGTTGATGGGACCCACTCATCCAATGGTCCCCTTTCATTTGGGATGAGAATTTGAGTTACAAATTTGGGTTATATAGTATTTCCCAAAAGAAATATGGATTTTTGCAACTTCACGTTCCATCAAGAACACACAACTAGAAAATAGTTTTGGAACTTCTCATGTCACATGATAATAATCACTTAAATCCTTAGATATTGAGTGAGATCACTATTTGACAGTACTATTAGTGGGACATTTATGTCTGGGATGTAGACTTTTTTGAGTGGGGGGTGATAGCTGAGTTTATATTACCAATGCGTGATATTTATAGCCAGGCATTCATCGTGTATCAACTTTTTTGGCTGGTAAGACCTCTTCTCATTGGTTTTGATGTGAAATAAAAAATGATCAAAATTTTCTTTCGAAACGTTCGAAACATTTTTGTTTCAAAGGAGACCGAAATAAATCAGTGATAGAATCGAAATTCTAATATTTCAAGGTGTTTCATAATATTTGGAGATGTTTTACAATATTTCATTGTATTTGCACAATTATTTTAGAATGCTTCAAAATATTTTAAGGTATTTTGGTATATTTTGACAAATGTTTTGGAAAAATATTTTGTAATTTTTTTCATTCTGTTTTAGAAACTAGTCGAAACGTTTCCATTTCTTATTTTTAGATGACCGAAACAATACACCGAAATAAAATTTTGATCCTTGAAAGCAGGGCATGTAAATAATGTTTTTGAATTACGATCAACTTTGCAAACTTGTTAGATTAGGCCTTCCTATTCTTTCTCTCTCTATCCCCCCTTCTCTTTCCCAAAAGAAAATTGTCAAGGGTAAAAAAATCCTCTTCATCTTTGAGCCATTGACCCAAAAAAAATAAAAATAAAAATCTCTGAGCCATATTTTATTTCCTCTCCATTCTTATACTATCGGATCTAATAGTGGCATATTCAAGTGGTCATTGCAGTAAATTCTGGCTCACAGATGGTGTATTGTTGACATGATGTGAATTCTGGGCTCCTCTTGCCTAACTTACTTGACTCTGTTGCTGCAATGTCGATTCCCTATTGCATGAAATAATTGGTACCTTCTATGCTTATTAGATGAGGATATTCTATGTTTCCTGGTCTATCACATGTTAGCTAAAGTCTTTCTATTGTTTTCTCTTTCTTTCTTCCTTTCTCCCTTTTCCTTGTTTCCTCGCTTGTAGATATCCCATATTACCTCGAGGAAGATTGACATGGTGATGTGGCTCCCCGAATTCCGAAAATCCATTAGAACTAGACTCAATTTTTGTTTTGATGCATTGTTTTGGTCACTTAGGAAAAAAAAATCTTTAAGCAATGCCTTGAAAATATTTCGGAAATAAATGAATATTTTTGTAATTTATTTTTATATTATTCCGGAACATTGGTAGAAACATGCGAAAACATCTCAAACCACCTCGAAACATTTCAAAACAACTCAAAGCATTGGAATTCGATTCAATATTCGTTTCGGTCTTTTTGAAACCGGAAATATTTCTGCTGTTTCAACCTTTTCGAAACAAAATTTTGATCCTTGAAATCATGTTTGTTAGTTTCCACATCTACCACGTATTGTTACTGAAACAAATGTTGAAGAAGTGGTCAGTGTGTGTGATAATAATGTTTGAGCCATGTTGAAATATTTTGATGACTTTGATCTGGCTATCCAATTAAACTTGGTGATAAACAAAATCTTCTTGATCTGTATTCAGTTTATGTGTTGTCTTCTTATTATGATTTTTTCTTTCTTTTGCTCTTTCTTCTTTGAAGATGGGGTGTTTAATTTTTTCTTTTTAGTCACTGACCATTTGGCAGATTTTTAGGTTCCTGTTTATAGAGAACCGTCCTTTAGCATTCCAGGAACTCCAGGAATAGTGCAGCATGAAATATTGAACAATAAAAGGCATGTCCTTACTAAGGTAATATGACGTTTTGCCTTGTGTTGCACTTGCCAAAATATACCTTTTAATGCTTAATGTTTTCTGTGTTCCAGTTTTTGTCCTGCTGATGTAATTATGTGGAAATGATTTATGAAACGTGTCTTCGTTAGGATACTGCTGGTTCAGTGAAGCTGTGGGAGATCACGAGGGGCGTTGTGGTTGGGGAGTATGCAGAGGTTACTGATTTTTTTTTTTTTTTTTTTGTTGTCTTCATATTTCATGTGTGAGTTGAGTAATGTACAGCATCGAGATTGTGCAAATGCCTGACTGGAAGAAGGATGAAATAGTTTTGAGCCTTGGCTATACTTTTTACCGCTACTTTCTGGGTTATACATTCTGTTGTTTTCTTTCAGGGGTTACTCCATGGTTATCTGTTTGTTATTGTGTTCCTTCATTGATTATTATTAATCCATTCTTTTTTAGGTTTCATTTGAGAAGAGGAAGGAAGAACTGTTTGAGATGGTAGAGTGCTGGCTCGTGCATTTAATGCATTTCAATCATTTGAATATTTAGGTCAACTTTCTTTTTCACTTGACTTCTCTTCTTCAGGTAAGCATTCCTGCATGGTTCACAGTGGATTCCAGGCTCGGAAACTTGTCAGTACATTTGGATTCCCCAGTATGTTTTTTGGCAGAGATGTATTCTGCTGACCTTAACATTGTTGGGAAACCTGAGGATGACAAGGTACGTCTTTTTTTAAAAAACAAATGTGAACTTCCAGCTTCTTTCCTGGGTGGTTCCCTCCATTGTTATACTGGTATTGGATGGAGAAGGTGCATGTAAGCTTTGTATAGATTATTTTCTGTTATTTGTAGTCTATGTCGAACTGACATCACTGGTTATCATGTCTTTTTGTAAGTCTTAGATGCTGTTTGGGAAACAGTAGAGTTGGTTTATTCAATATAACTCTGGTGGCCAGTCCTTGCTGGGCTCTAGTTTCGGAATTCAAGAGAAAATTAAAACCTGGTTTTTTCTCTGCCCAATAGTGTGCTAAAACTGGAATGCATTTGAACCGAAGGAGAGTTGGCTTTCTTCAAATCTTATTTTCTCCCTCAGCACATGGCACTAGTCTAAGGAAAAATTTCCAGCAATCTTCCTATTTCAACCTATAAACCTCAATGATGCAATCCATAAGATGCTCACGGAAATACATATTCGAAGATGTGAAAAATAATGGAATTGGCTTTCCATCAAGACAAAGATTCATATGGAACTTTGCATTATTATATTTTGAGTCTTATTTTAAGTCAATTTACTAGTATTAGTATTTTATATGTCCTTTTAATATTTTTTGGTGTCGGGGGTATTTTTGTAATTTCTAGAATTTTTGAATCAGGTCATATTTTTTGGTCAAATTCTAGTGTTGAATATTCTAGAATTTAAAGTTCTAGTTCTAGTTAATTTTAGTTTTCTAATTTTTAGCGACCTAGAGTTTTTGAAGTCCCATTTGGAATCCTAATCTTAGATTAGGAGTACTTAGAACTCTATATGTAGTTAGTGTCACTTTTAATAAAAGAGAGATAGAGAGACATACTCAGAAATTTTAGCAATTACATGCTTCTTGAGTTGTGTGATTCAATTCTAACCCTGGTGTGATGCCTAAGGAACTCTAGGAGTGATTTCTAGTCTAAATCTACTGTTCATGGTACTGTTCACGGATACTATTCACAGCCCTAAACAGCCCCTATATTTTTATTTTACAAAGTTGTCCTACATCACTCAAGTAACTATCCAAGGAGCAATGGACAAAACTTGATAAATGTGTCTACTTGGCTTTGTTCCCACACGTCGTCTTGTTTTTCTTCTTGTTCGTCTTCTTTTTAGGGATATGACTCTAGATTTTTTACCTCGATCAGTATTTTGGGTTTGTATCCAAAGCTTTTCATTATGTCTTATGTTGGGTCTTCTCTCTCTCATATGGAATTTGATTGTCCTTTTATGGCTTCCCTCAAATTATTTAATATTGTTTGTCAAAGAATAACTGGGTGTTTCTTCTTTTTTTATTTTTTTTTATTTTTCCTGGTAGGTGTGATCTTACATGTTGACAAGGATCAAAATATCGTTTCGAAACGGTTAAAACGTTTTCGTTTCCAAGGAGATCGAAACGAAACAGTGATGAAATCGAAATTCTGATATTTCGAGGTATTCCATAATGTTTTTAAATATATTATAATATTTTAATGCATTTGCACAATTGTTTTACAATGTTTCAAGATATTTTACAATATTTTGATATATTTCCATCAATGTTTTAGAAAAATAGTTCTTAAATTTTTTATTTTTTTTATTATATTTCTGAAACACGTCGAAATGTTTCCGAAACACGTCGAAACGTTTCCGTTTCTTAGGTGACCGAAACAATACACCGAAACGATATTTTGATCCTTACATGCTAATTAACTTGCCTCTAATTTGGGTTGTCTTGGTTGTTTCAAAAAGGAAAATGTATGTATAGTACATGAATAAGCCAACTGCTTCCAACATGAAATTTGTTAATGTTGTAATTTACCTTAACAGGGACTAGTTTAGCTTAGTAGGCCTGATTCAGACTGAACCAGATTGCAACATTCTGAATTAGGCCCTTTTTTTTATGTCAGAGATCTAAATTTGGTCTTTTTATGTCACCTGCAAATTAAGTTTTAAGGGGCAATCAATGATCGAAATATCGTTTCGGTGTATTGTTTCGGTCACCTAGGAAATGAAAACGTTTCGACCTGTTTCGGAAATATAATGAAAAGAATAAAAAATTTAAGAATTATTTTTCTAAAACATTGATAGAAATATATCAAAATATCTTAAAATATCTTGAAATATTTTAAAATAATTGTGCAAATGTATTAAAATATTGTAATACATTTAAAAACATTATGGAATACCTCGAAATATCAGAATTTCGATTCCGTCACAGTTTCGTTTCGATCTCTTTGGAAATGGAAACGTTTCGACCGTTTCGAAATGATATTTTTGATCCTTGGGGGCAATAAGAGTGGATAGAGCATTTTCTCTTGAAAGACAAGGTGGACGTCTCAAAGAATGACCATAATTGTAAATGCACATATAAAGAAGCTATGAGAAAAAAAGTAAACATTAAAGTAGCCATGTAGATTTACAAAAAGCTAGCACATTGAATTCATGTTTTGCATTATGTGCTTCTAAATCCTTTTAAGAAATCAATTATTGATGACCCTCTTTTGGAATTTGGAGGCTATATTCCCATGAAGATTACCACAATTCTTGGGAATTTATAGCTTGTGTATCTGATACATTTTCTAAACTGAAGTTAAACGTGAGATGTAAATGTATCAAGGTTCTAATGGGTGTCTCACACCATCTTGGTTAAAGTTTTTTCTTTCTCCTCATGGCCTTACTTGGGGTTAATCCTCAATTGGCCCGAGTCTTTCTAATACAAACTTGTTATGCATTGAGCTAATCTATAAAAACAGGTGATGTAGGACAAGTGTGGGGAATCACTTCGCATGAATTATATCGAAACTGTTGTGCAGCTGAAGCAAAAGGTTTTTAAGGCTGATAGGTTTTATTGATTACAAATGAATTGGTAAGGGTTAGGTTTGAAACAGATAAGGTGTAAAGCCGCTAGGGTTTGTGAGAGGGAGAGAGAGAGACAGACAGAGAAGAATAGGAGAAAAAGATCAAAATAGGGTAGTGTATTAGGTTACACAACTACACCTTGTTTATATATACATATGGACTCAAGGACTAAAATACCCTTATTCTATATAACAAAATATAATGTAACATTCCCCCTCAACTTGGTGCATAGATATCCCACATGCCCTACTTGCAAATAATGGGGTGAAAAATCTTACAACTAAGTCCCTTTGTGAAAATATCGACTAACGAATCTTTTGATTTCACAAAAGACGTATAAATTAAACCCTTATTTAACTTATTTTTGAAGAAATGCCGATCAATTTCAACATGTTTGGTCTTGTTATGTTGAACTGGATTATGAGCAATGTTAATGACAGCCTTCTTGTCACAATAGTCTCATAGATCCATCATCATGAATTCCCAACTCTCCTAGTAATGTTTGGAGCCATATAAGCTCATAGACTCCATGAGACATTGTTCGGTATTCAGTTTCTGCACTAGATCTGGCCACTACTGCCTGCTTCTTGCTTTGCCATTTGTTAAGATTTCCTTCAATCAAGGTGTAATAACCTGAAATAGATCGTCTATCATCCACTGAGCCATCCTAGTCTGCATTAGTAAATGCTTCCAACCTCAAGTGGCTATTATTAGAGAATAGGATCCCATTTTCTTGGATCTGACTCGAGATACCTCAATATGCAATATACAGCTTCAAAATGAGAAGTTCGGGGATTATGCATAAATTGACTAACAACACCTACTTCATAAGTAATATATGAGCGAGTATGTGAGAGGTATATCAGTTTTCCAACTAGTCTCTAACATCTTTCTTTCTCTAATACCTCACTAATACCACCACTCAGTTGATGGTTGACTTCAATAGGTCAATCTGTAAGTTTGCATCCCAACTTCTCCATCTCCTCAAGAAGTTCAAGAACATACTTCTTATGAGACATAAGATACCTATGTCTGATTGGACAATCTCAATTCCAAGGAAATACCTTAGTGGATCCAAGTCTTTAATTTCAAATTCTTTGGTCAACTGAGCTTTTAATTTGCTGATTTTATGCTCATCATTTCTAGTTATCACTATATTATCCACATATACAATAAGAACTGTAATCTTGCCATCAACCCGTTTGATGAAAAAGGTATGATTTGCATGACTTTATTTATATCCAAATTTTAGCATAGCTTTGAGAAACCTATCAAACCAAGCTATGAGATATTGTTTCAACCCATAAAGAGATTTCTTCAGCCTACACACCTTCTTTTCAGTCATTGGAGATGAGAAACCTGGAGAAATCTCTATGTACAATTCCTCCTCCAAATCTCCTTAAAAAAAGGTATTCTTCACATCCAACTTTTACAAACTCCACCTCAAGTTTGTTATATCAAAGATTGAGCACGTATGAAGTTCATCTTTGCCACATTAGCAAAGGTCTATTAATAATCAATACCATATGTCTGAGTAAATCCCATAGCAACCAACCTGGCTTTGTACCTATCGATTGTCCCATCACCTTATTGTTTGACAGTAAATACTCATTTGCACCCTACTGCCCTTGCTCGAAGAAGAATAGGAATCAATTCCCATGTGTCATTCTTTTTCAGGGCTTTCATTTCTTCAATCATCGCTTCTCTCCACTTAGGATTAGTGAGAGCCTCTTTCCAACCATGAGGAATATACACAAAAAACAAGGAAGAAATAAAAGCGTGATAGAATAGAAGGAATTATAAGAAACAAAATTAAAGATGGAATGTTGAGTACAAGCTAGAAACTCTTTCTGACTGTAATAGGAAGCTTAGAGTCATCAACAACTGGATTATTCACAGTGGGAGTAACATTTTGAGATTCATTACCGGACATATTAGTGGAGGATGGAACTAGAGCTGAGGAATCCAACTGATGTGATGGCACATGGCTAATTTGTATCTTTTGATGTTGAGAATAAGTCATCAGATTAGCATTGTCACGGTTAACACCATGTGGACCAATATTATCCCTTTTTTTCCTAAATAAGTTATTGCTCCCCATCACTAGCATTCTACTGAATAAGCAACTGAAGAAGAGACTCTTGACAAAACATCTCTTCCAGTGTACCGGTATTCTCCCCTTGGAGAGTTGGTTGGGATGCAAGAAAGAAGGACTCAAATTCATGAAAAGTAACATCCATGCTAACTTACATTCTTTAAGACTGTGGATGATAGCATACATTCTTTTGTCTGGCAGAATAACCAATAAAGATACATTGCAAAGCTCGGGGATGAAGTTTCCCCAGGAAGGTTGATATTCATGGACAAAACAAACACGCTCAAAGACTTTAGGAGGAAGAGAAGAAATAGAAGGAATAAACGAAGACCCAAAAAAACACTCGATAGGTGATCGAAATTGAAGGACACTTGAGGGTAAGCAATTAATAAGTTAAGGTGCGGTAAGTATTGCCTCCCCCTAAAAAGACTGAAGGACATTTATAGTGAACAGTAATGAACGTGCAACCTCAAGGAGATGACGGTTCTTTCGCTCTATAACACCATTCTATTAAGGGGTACTCACACAAGTGCTTTGATACAAAATACCATTCTCATTGAGGTAAGAATAAAATTCTCTATCAATATACTCAGTTCCATTGTTACTTCGAAGAATTTTTATTTTTGCATCAAATTGGGTACTAACCATTGTGTGAAAGGATTTAAAGTGTGAGAAAACTTCACATTTAGTTCGTAGTAGATAAACCCAAGTGAGATGAGAATAACAATCAATAAAAGTGACAAGCCAATGATATATCCAGGGATAAACACAACACAAGAAGGGCCCTACACGTCAAAATGAATAAAGACAAAAGAAGCAGTACTTTTATTATTAGTACTTGGATAAGATGAACATTTATGCTTGGTACAAGTATCACAAACAAAAAGTTGTCTATTACATTGCTTCACTAAACTAGGAAAAAGATGCTCCAAGACACCAAAGGATGCCCCAAACTCCAATGCTACTAATATAAGAACTGTAAAGCTGATTCACCATGTGCCTGGAGAGCTTGACTATTAAACTAAGGAGAAGCTTCAGCATCCAAAAGATACAGACCACCATATGCTCTACCACTACCAATCGTTTTTCTGGATTTCAGTTCCTGAAATATACAATGAGTAGGAAAAAGGGTTATTGAACAATTCAAAGATTTTGTAATACTACTAGCATATAACATATTATTAGAGAAATTTGGAACTTGGAGAACAGAGGAGAGTGATAAGATGGACAAGCAATCGATTAAACCTTTCCCAGAAATAGAGGATAAAAATCCTTTTGCTACTTTGACTTTATCCATTCTTGAACATGTAGAATATGCAGAAACAAGACTAGAAGAACCTGTCATATGATCAATGTCTCCAGAATCTATTATCTAAGGAGTGTATGAG